ATAAAGCAAACTTTGATCTGTTCATTAGAGTTGCTGAAAATGATGATAGCCGGATAATTTCATCTGCACATGATGCCTATTCACTTTGATTTTAGGTTGTCGGCGTGCCAGATGAACGGTACGGTGAAGTAGTATGTGCATGGATACGGTTACGTGATAGTGCGGGTGATATTACGGAGGAGGATATCCGGGATTTTTGCAAAGGACGAGTGAGAAATATGATATGATATTGATATGTGCTGCTGATAGTTGCTCACTGTTTCTGAGATACTGATTCGAATTATGATCGTAATTTGTGAAAGTACTTGTAACAAGTAATTATTCAAAAAAAAAAAAAAAATATCTTTATCAAATGAATTATTCCATTTATTTTGCTAATTTAACCCGCAATTTCTTTTTACAGATTGCACACTTCAAAATTCCACGATATATCTTATTCAAAAAAGAAAATGAATTTCCGCTAACAGTAACGGGTAAAATTAAAAAATATGAGATAAGAGAATTATCAAAAATTGAACTTGGATTGGAGCAGGTTGGTTTGCTCTTTCTTTAACAAATTTATCACTTAATTCTAAATATTTTTAAATAGTCCCCTAAGTCATTTAAACGGAGTGCTTTAATTTTGATATCTAATTACCATAAATTTAAATTACTGAACTCTCATGATAACAACATATCAGCACATATTTCTGTCACGCAACCCACTACATTAAATGTTTGCAGCATTTCTCGCTAGTCGTCTAATAAGAAAAAAAAAAAAAATGCAAGTATGGCTTGTAATGTGAAATAGCAAATGCACTGTTATCAATATCATTTATCATTTTTTTACCGTCAATTTCAGTTTGCTGTTTTTCTTTTCATCTTTTGCCTAAATTAAAGTTAAAACTCATTTAGCCTAGTGGGAATCGTCTTTTTACAGATCAAACGACGTGTTGATCATTTCAACGGCGAATGGGTTTTTGACGTACAAGCAGAAAAGCACTCAGCCAAGCCAAGAGGCTAAGTCCTAGTACTATTATTACTCTTAATGCTCCTACCACTACTATTGCTATTGCTATTGTTCTTATCAGAGGTACCATTATTCTCTTCGTTTCTTTGCTTTATTTTGCATCTACAATGATTCAGAAAAATATGATTTTAGCAAAGAATTTATATGTATTAAACGTGTTTTCTTCTTATTGTGAATTATTTAAGTGAAATTTCTTAAATTCAATTCTTAAATTTCCTTTCTCTTTTCCAAAATAATACTGAACACCATTCAAAAAAAAAAAAGATAAAGAAATTGAGCAACAATTTGGTTCACTAATCACTGAACTCATAAATTTTGACAACGTAAAAAACTTTTATCTTATAAACTTAGTTTGGTCTTTTTTCATTGAGAATTTGCAATCGTCAATTAATCTGAATTAAGCTTTCCTTCGTTGTGTATTTTCTGAATCAATTCTCTTACAAGTTGAAAAATGTTCTATCAACTTTAGCTTATAATTATTCTTTTCAAATGTTATTTCGATCCTCTGAACGACAATCTTACTCGTTCCTTTAATTTCAAATTTCAATTTCTATACCAATTTATTGCTTGTGCAGTGTGTCTGTCTAGTTGTATAGATAATTTATCCATTATATCTTCTCTACGTGGATTAAATTTCAGTTCAGCACCACTCTTATCAAATGTTATCATTATCATTACTGTATATCATTACGTCGTTTATTATATGTAATTGTTTCAAAAATGCTTCAGATAGGAGAAAGCAACATCAGAAATAATTTGCATCATCATCATCATCATCATCATTATCATCATCATCATTATCACCATCATAATAACAATAATAATCCACTGAATTAGTTCATTTATTAGTTTTTGTATATTTTTATAACAAAATTACAGCGTTTAAATGATTCTCACAAAAATATAATCACAATTTAAGGTAGTCTATATATAATATTTGTATGCATTTACGCAAAACCACTTATTTTTCCCCTACTTTGATCCCCATAATGACATATAATTTGAAAGATATGTGTTGAAGAGAAAAAGAAACCAAATCTGAAGTTTTAAATTTCATTAATGTTACAGTGTTATCGGGTAATCATCAGTTATCATTTTTACCACCATTAATATCGATGCTCGACATCCAGCAATCAAATTTTTATTTTCAAATAAGTAAATAATCGAGATGGTATCGGATATTTCAGTAGTATTCACATACTCTTACTTATATATTCCTCAAAGCTTTTCAGCAGACACTTATAGTGGGAAGGAGCAAAATATAAGTTAGAAAGTTCAGTGTTATAGTTTGATCACATATTGCGCATTTGTCATCACTTCGCTTTCCTTTTTCAGTAAAGTAAGTGGGATTGGAACTGAAAGAAGCGCAGGTAGATTTCTGAGATTTTATCTTGTGAAATGACTGCACTACTATATATTCTGATGATAATCGCGCAACTGTCACTTTATCACATCTCAGCGAAACTTATATTTGTTGATGCGATGAGGCAGTAGTAAGCATGACTATAATTCAATTATTTTAGGTACTGGGAACTTTATAAATACTGCAAAACTGCAATTAGAGTATTTATAAATGTAATTTATATGAGAGCAGATTAAGTGACCTTTCAGGAAGGAAAAGGAAAGGAGAGAATGAGGTTAAGAAGTTGGTATTAGTTAGTTATTTTGTGATTGGTCAATACCTTCATATTACAAGAAATCTATGTTTAAAAGTAAAGAATACAACTCTTTGAATTTGGATATGACAGATAGGCTCATATACACCTGTGCTGTAATCTTCTCACACTGCATTTTACTTGCGATGAAACGAAAACTGTATCCTTTATTTTAATAAAAAAAAGGTATAATTTGACATTAAAGAAGATCGAAGATTAGGAAAATTTCATCGTAGTAATTTGTTTTGACAAGCAACTACTTTGAGAGCTTCTTGGGTCCATATTGGACATGGGGGCAAAAGTTTGCTATGTTATGTTAGTAAAAGGTTTCTAAGTAAACAGTAAAAGGTTTCTAAGTAAACAGATGGTTCATAAGTAATCGTGAGTTAATTAGGAGAAGGTAAGCTATCGGTGATGTCGAAAGATACTGTACCGTACAAGGACGATGCTGCACCCCAAAAGAAATCACAGAAGAGGAGATGAAATTCACATGGAGCAAAAGCACAGAATAGAAATGATGTAAACCAGTGCTTTCCTTGCATTTTTAGCTGTTCCATTTGGGATTTGAAACAGGCTGACAGTTCGTCTCCAATCCCGTTTACTGGAACTTTCTAGTAACTTATACAACTTTATCAGTAGGCAAATGCTTCATCAAAGCTTTTTCGAAATTATAAATAGCACATATAAATGATTCTAAAAATGTCAGGTCAATGGAATAAAAATGGAAAGAAAAGTAGGACACTGAATCTGCAGACTATCAAATGCAGACCCTATGAACTTTTTAAACTTGAAAAAAAGGAAACGACCAGGTCAATAAGAAATCTTTTTCTTCACTACAAAAAAGACTGAATCACAATAAATAAAACAATTAATCCGGAGAGAACTTCCATTTTCAGTTTGTTAAACATACAATATAAAAAATGTTCTATAAATGAATTTTTTTCTTAGATTTAGAAGATGCAAAATTCAAAAAATTGATGTGCAGATGAAAAGCCATGACCAATGAGATGGCTGGTAAATTAATAAGAACACTGAACATTTAATGTATAAAACAGCGTCGAGAAAATTGAAAAAAGACAAAAGATGACAAGATGAAAGAATAAGGATGAGTAAATCACATTACATTTTTCAGTAGAGATGCAGCGAATTTGAAACACAACTGATTCCTTTACACAACGTGTTCAGAAAACATCAACATTTGCAATTGGCTTTTTTTTCCAGCGCATAGGAATAGATGCGATAGTTTCTGATACTCGCTGAAAATGGCCTCTATGCAAAAAGCCACACCGAGCAACTGACAAAAATATAAATAATACATTGTTTCTATAACTAGATTTTGGACTACTCAATTTCAGTATCAATTTCTGATGTGAAGCAGTTAAAACTAAGTTTCGAATTCAAAGAAAAAGAGCAACCACCAAAATAGACTAAAAACCAAGCGTCGAGCAAATATTCTTGACATATGCATTTTAAAGGACTAAGAAATTCAAACTTTTCGAGAAAACCTTCATCATATATGAAAAATGCATTACCACCAATGAAGACACATACTACTATTACTACTACTACTACTACTAATACTAGTATACTTATTACTACACAGTACAATACGGTAGTTGAAGGCAGAGCAAATTAAATATGTCACTGCCTAAAAATGATTAAACCGTACACAAAATGAAAGAATTTGGATCACTAACGAGGTACCATGTGAATCGATGGCCAGATGATTCCAACAATCAGAGTTTCCCACTAAAAATAACCGTCCTCAACCGAAACAGGATTAATTTGGCAAAAATAGTCGAGGACCAGCAATTACTATATCATCAACCCATACAGATTTCTTACTTTCTTAAGTTTTTTTTTCCTTTTTTTTTGTTACATTATGCTTGCCTGATTTTTTCCAAAGAAACAAGTTTGTCTTCCGAAATCCAAATCCTATAACTCACACCAAATTGATTCTACTGGATTACAATAGCGTCACAGATTTTAAAGACTTAAATTCAAAAATAATGTAATGAATGTGACACAAAAAAGAAAGAGATAAAACCCAGATTGAGGACAATTATTTTTGTGAATAAAAGAAATTACAAATTTAAGGAAGACAAAATTCTACCACATTTTCGTTCTTCATTATGTTAACTAAACCATCAGGCCAAAAAAGGCTGGAAAATTCGTTGGAAGGTAGTAGTGTAGGACAGTAAGCACTTTTAAGTACTCTTTGTATAGATAATTTACAAATTTCAATCAGAATTTTGTCGTTAAGGGATATCTTTGCCCAAAAATAACAAATTTCAAAATCTTAATCAAAACAAAATATTTGCCACTTCAGTGTCCCATCACAAATTTAACTCTTGTGCTATTTTCGATGCAATATTCTTAAAACCAATTGATGTCCCCGATATTCGTTTAAATCGAACGCCATTTAGACTCAGTCTTGGCAATTTGCAAACCTTAAAGAAAGACATAAATTGTTGGTCAACAAGTAAAACATTTACTACCTCTTGAATTTTTAAGAAAATTCTCAAAGTGTTAGATATACAAAAAAGACATTTACTTCAATTATTATAAAGTTTTCAGTAACTGTACACTTGTGAAAAATTCAATGATACACGAATGTTAGAAGTTCGCATATCCTATTAAGAAATATAGCTTACTTCCATTTCCCACTGTACCAGCGAGTCGGTATTGGGATCACCATGAACGCACAATAATAAATATCTCTCACGCTGCTCATAATCACAGTTGTTTTGGTCCAGAACTTTTCGAATTTCTCTAAAACAAAAAATAAAAAAAAATTTAACGATGAATTTCATTCTCGCACTCATATAATTGTCATATAAGAGAATCTTTTTATAGAAATCCAATAGCCTATCAAAGTACTGTCATGAAACAAAAAGGCATAATCTATCGCATAAATTATACTGAATTGAAATTTAACTTCAAAGACTTACTTCATCATTTCTTCGGGTGCTAAAGAGCTAGTAGTTTTCATACTCCATGTGAATCGCAGCGACCGTGGCTTCACTTCATCACCATTTGATATATCACACCCAACACCCAGTGCTGCATTTGGTGTCATGACAAATTGACCATGATGTTGCTGACTAGTGTTTAATCGTTTAAATCCAGCAATACCGGTAGTCGGCCCAATGGTTCCACTTCTCACACTATGTTTGACCGTTTCACCTGTGTTAATTGGTGTTGGCGGTGATGTCGTAGTGAGAGCAGATCCTTCAGCAATCCCCACGATTGGTGTCCTGCGCGATGACTGATATAGAGATGAGGCACAGGTTGATGGTCCGCTACCAACAGTACCAGTGACATAGTACGTTGATGGTAGCTGGACACTGCATGCATCACCCGCTCTCGAGCTATGATGATGGTTTCCTCCAGTAACGGCACCACTGTTTGACGATGCCATCGATGGGCTAAACGATTGGATGGAATCACTGGACCGTATCGTATCACTCACATTGTTCGGCAAAAATATGGTTACAAGATTTCGGGATAAGAGAGCTGCGGAAGCATTTATTGGGTAATCTGTCGCTTTAATGTACCGGAGGAGTAGGAAATATTGGTAACTAGCATCAATTACCAGTCAGGGAATTTGAGCAGTAAAGTAAACCACGGAAAGGCTCGATACGAATAACTAATGTTAGTGGTAGTACTTACTCAGAGCTCAGCGATATCATACCGTAACTGCTATCATTATGCATGAAAAGCGGCCTAACGGAAATGAAGGCCTTATATTTAAAGCTTGCACGTTATTAGCTTCACTATAACCATTGGCTGTTGATGATGGTAATCTGCTGCTGACTGCTGTTAACATTACTACCAGTAAATAAATTTCGTTGGATTGACTAGTTCATGACTATTGGTGACAGGAGCAAGAGTAAAGCTGTTTGCTTATTGAAATACCACGACCGGAAAAGCAACGAATTTGTGACAATACAGTAGGGATAATAGGTAAAGTTGTTTAATTCGTTTTCATTAAGTTTGACAAGTTTAGTTTAGTTTAGTTCAGTAAGTTGTTTTGCAAAGTAAACGCGTATATAACGTGGATATATTGCTGATAAGGATAATTTTGATGACAATGATGATAGAAGATAATGATATTTCTGCTCAGCAGTGAACCACTACAAAAAACAAAGAGTAGTGGAATAATAGGGCACTTGCCGAAATTAATCCTCAAAAATTTTCACTGCCTGCTTCGCATTATTCGCTTTAAAATTTTTGCTTTCAGATCCAATCACTTGAAAAATCATTTTGAAGATGTTAGGCACTAATTTTTCATGAAAAGGATTTAAAACTCATACAGAATTATAAATATGTGCTTACACCGCAAATAAAGATACAAAAAATGGAAAAGAAAGAAGCGCACATTATAAACTTTTCTCTGTTAATTAAAAAGCAAACTCAAGTACACTTCAGTTTGAAAAAAAGATTTTAGTAAACTGTGATTTGGAATACTCGCTAAGGACAATGAACCTGAACACCATGCTTTGAAATTAGCAAAATAAAGCATTACCGAAGTGCAAATAATTAGCTATTTTATAGAAAACTGATCTAATCGAAGATGTGTGAAATAGTGAAATATGTGTATATATAATCAAACACTCGAATGATCCTCTTAGAGAAAAAGTTAGATTTGAAAAAAGTAAAATGAAAACTGCAATTAGAGTGAGAGTGACTTTCAGATACAATCTGAATGTCAAGGAAATACTTTCCAAAATATTCCAGTGTAAGCGAAAAGGAATGTGAAATTCTCGGGTCTTGGAGATCAGAAAAAAATTATAACAGATGACTTTCGATAATGTGGTGCTGCGCACTATATGAACAATGGATGCAAGCAAGATTACCAAACGTGTTATTCTGCGACATAAAATATGATAGTTGAATATAAGTTCATTTCTTCAGAATGTTTAGCGTCAACAGATCCTTCCGAAGATATTAAGATGAAATGAATTAAACAGTTCAAAGCATAATATAAAGTCTTAGTGAATGGCCAAAGTGGCATTAACAAAATTATTCGATAAAACACAAAACCGTTGCTTTTCCGGAAGGAAGAATTCATCCCAAAATAATTATTTATCTAATAAATGAGCAGTTGAATTATTATTCCTGTGCCGACATGTGAGCGAGGAGGAAATAGTCTAGTCTTGTGCAAAATAGCAATATATCGGTGAAAATTCATGACTGTGAACAAAAGATGGAGAAGTGAAGGAACCATCACCATAACCCGCATACTCGTACAAATTAAATGAAATAAACCAAAATGTTGTAAATGATTCTTAAGAAAAAATGAGCTGATAAAAAAGATGAGAATATAATACTGCCACAGCATAAAACTTTTAAAAAAAAATCTCAGTAATGCTGAAGAATGAGATATATCGATCGATCGTCTTCTTAAAAGAATCAGTCGATAATATATTCTTCAGCATCAACTTTCTCATTGAAGGTTAACTACAAATGAATCCATAGTAGTAAACAAGTGGCATCACTAAAAAAGCAAAACCATTTTGAGTGTAACTAGAGTAAAATGACTCATTCTGTAGACCATTCAAAAAGCACCTTTCCATAATGCAGGACTGGATAGTAAATTCTTCTTTCCCAATTACATTTCAAGCAAGTCCTGCACTTATATTAAACTAAATTAGCTTAATGTAAATTGTATGAAGCTTTTTCATTCCCTAACAAAAAATTTTCAAACTTCCTCACTAGGAAATTTTGGTTAGTAAAAGCATAACACTTGCAAGCAAAATAAGCATTTTGCTCCATATGTGAATATGTGAAAGCTCTTTATCTCATATAAATTAAAAGAACCAATTAGTAAAGTAAGTAATAAAAGCTGGGATTAGCTGCAGATATGATGATAAAACCCCTTCAGAAATCGTTTACATAGGAAGTGCTCATGTTTTGAACAAAATTTAGATCAGCATCTGGCTGAAATGGAACTACTAACCGGCGAGTAAGCTTGGATAGTTTGGAAAGGAATGATCCACGTGGACCACCGTTGCCTGCTGTATTAGCACCATGTACTACCTCCGTTTCAACATCATCATCCAAACTTCCCTATAATTGAAAAGTAAAGAAAGGAACACTAAGTTTGTTTAAAGATACGTAATTTCATCCCTTAGAAATCATTCCATTCACTGATGAGGATTAGCCTCCGAAATAAAATAACTTATAACTCGTTTGTATACATCAGTCATGTGTTATATGAAGTTCATAATGAAATAAAAAGAAACCTTGTTGTGCTCCGTTTTCCCATGAAAAGTTTGCCTGTTACGAGTATGTCTAGGAAAGGCAGCATTTTGTATTGCTGTACCATGTGTACTTAACACTGCGGTTGATGGTATAGTTTGTGCGTCTAAGGAAGGCTAAAATGAAAATATTGTTAATTAAAGTGATAGAAAGACTAATCAGTGTTTCATTATCAGTACCATCATCAAGTCGTAGTGGTTGAATTCTACGTGTTGTGATTTGATATTCTTAATACATCGCAAATTAAAAAAAAAAAAATTACGAACACTCATACACCTTGAATAAACCTGAAATCTTCCACTAATTCTGTTGTCACATATATTTTAGAAAATTAGTATTAAATAAATTTCACTTAAATGAAGAAACATACTGCTGTCACCACAACAGGATTCAGAGCAGTGCCAGTTGCAGATTTGGTCAACTTTGGGCTATTATTCTGTGAATGTGGCAACAACGCAGATGGTGATGTTTCGTTAATAGCTAAATTTTTGATAACTGCTTGTGCAGATGCGCTTTGATGAAGCCTGAAAAAGCTAAACATTGGAATCTAGAAATTAAACAAAAGTAGGCGAAAGTTTTGTAAAAAGAGATATTATCATCCAAACAATAACATAGCACAAAACCAGGTATTTCTAAAAATCCAATTTGAAATAATGCACTTATTTTGTTTTACAAGCAAAGAAAATTTTAACGAAAGTTAGTAAATTACATACAGCTCACTAGGAAACCATCTAATTTTTGGTAAAGAAATCAACCAGTCGAAATTATTATATTTAACATGAACTAATAAATCAGCATTGCCAACAATGTTTCTGGAAGACAGTTCAGATCTACATAAATTATTCCTTTTCGATCACTTAAAATAAGGATGTTTTCTCTAATCCCTAAAAAAATCTTTGAAAATATCCACGAATATGGAATATATTTAAGCGATCCAAGCCCAAATTCACAAAGACCCATGAAATCCTAATGGTAATCAAGCTATGCTTTCAATCGTCTTTCAATCCCAAACAATGATTTATTAGTTGGAGTTCAAAATAAAAGACAAGTAAAAAAATTATATTTATAAGAAAAAATATTAAACGCCACATATTATTGCCGTAAATATAACAAAAAAGAGAAAAGTATCAATGCATAACTAGATTAAATTCAAGAATAATTTATCAAAGTATATTTGGGACGCTTCAAGAAATATGGTATCTAATACTCCACGAAGGTTCTAGAACCAATTCTAACCGAAAGCATTTTGATGTAAGAATATATTCTTCATTTCCGAAAATTCAGTCTAACTGCAGCTCTACTCTGCATATCTGTAAGATAAAGATTTCGGAAGTATGTATAATTTCGACCAAGGATCGTGGAGATGGTTGAATGTCACAGCTTGTCATCAAAAATATGTGAGAAAGAAAATCATTATGATAACACATGAAAATGAAAGACAACAGTTCTTGAAAAACACACAATTATTTCAACACGAAAATCATACACTATTCACAAGCATATAGCAAGTCTTTGAATAAGTGATTCTGGAGTATTCCAGAATCAAAATCGCCATAACTTATATTTGGAATATTCTCAAAATACACCAAAACAATTCGGCAATTCCCCCAACAAAACTTTGAACAAATCATTCACATACTTTTCCTCTTTTTTTTCCGGCTGCTCTATTGTTGGACCAAGTGTTAATGCAGGTGACTGCTGCCGTGATATCGCGGTAGAATCTCCATCATCGGCATCACTACCAGCGTAACGACCAGTATCGACACCTTTATCAGTAGTTGCATGCGCTGTAACTGCTAGTTCAGCTTTCCCGTTATCGCCATTAGTAGCGAACAGTTCACCGTTTTCATTGTCATCCTCCTTAATCGACGGCTCATTTGGCGTTGCCGAAATAGAGCCGCTTTTCTAGAATCAAAGACTTTATGAATTCACGAGTTTTGGATTATATGAAAATAATTTGTTAATGTAGAGAAAATAAAGTAAAAAATCGAAAAGATTCAACAACCAAAATACCTGTAGCGATGTGATCTTCTGCTGCGCAGAATTTGAAGAAAATGGCGAACTCGAAGTACCACGAGCAGACGAAGATCCAGTAATACTCTTAGGTAAACCTTTCGTACTGCAAAACATCAAATTACAAGTGACATAACATCACCTATACTTTAATTCAGATAATTTTATCAAATTCTTTTGTGTTCCTAGAAATGTATGAGAAAGCTTTCTATCCTTGAATCTTCACGATCAGTCGGTCAAAAAAAAAGTGATCGAAAAATACTTTCTTTAGTGCAAGAAACTCACTCAATTGTCGGATACACAAATCGTGGTCCCGTTGGCAAGATTCCTCTCGCCCCTAAATTAGATAGCGGTGTTCGTGCCGGAACGGAAGCCTTCCTAAACCCAGAAACAGCAGCAGCTTGTACACCACTTCCGACGGCTTGCATTACATTTGAAGGATAGTTGGGCACTGAAATCAATTATCAAACTCACGAAAATAACTGAACGCACAATTCTAGTCAAGATACAATGATAGAAACATTCTTGAGATCTTGCATAAAATCTTGCAATATAAGATAACATACTTATATGACCTGGTTGCATACTAAGCGCTTGCCGACCACCTGGTGGACCAACAACATGTCGCATTGTAACCGGTGCTACACCAGATATGACTCGTTGTGTTCCAGGTGATGTTGTGACATGAATTTCCGACGGTAAAAGTGTTGTTGGAAGTTGAGCAGCTGGTGTAATTGTTTGCTCCTGTGATCCACGCCGTGTCTTTATTGATGGTACTTGGGCTGATGTTGAACGAGGCACAAATTTCTGGGTCTAAAAAAAATCTCCTGTTCAAACAAATGTTACGAATGATTCTTGTGTTTTTCGGAACTTTGATTCTGATATCAATAAGCTTGATATCTTCTCCAGTTCATTTTTAATAAATCAGAATTTTTCAAATCGGAAATTTACCATAGCAAAACCAGTAGAAGCGGGTGGTTGAGTATGCGGACTTTGACCTTGCGTTATTCCATGAGCAACACTTTGTGCTGATGCGGGATTCAATTGAGCATTTAGGACAGCTTCTCCGTCAAGCTGAAAAATTCGAAGATATGAAAAGAAATTTCATTAACTTTCAAAGATTGATATCACTTTTGGTTCCAAGGATCATCAGCTGCTTTCCAGTCTTAATTTCGGATTAGTTGCACAAATTAGAAAACACTGATAATGATGTCCAATTGAGCCTGAATAAGCTTTGTCAGCTTAATAAAAATTAATCGTGAGATGGCCTTGTGAACATAACTATGCTAAGATCGATCACCTATTTTCCGCTTTCTTTTACACTGATCAGATCAATGCCTTAAACAATTCAAACAGTTTACCTCGCGTTTTTTTTCTCCCAGCAAAATGTATATGGCATGAAGATCATCGAAACTACCTTTGTCCAGTGATACCATTATTGCATTACGACTGTAACCCATTTGCTGGATAATGGCTATTCGATTTTCATCTTTAACGTCCTTCGGTGGTTCGATATATGGTTTCAATTCGTCATCTTCATAACCTATATTCATCCACCTAAAACAAGTCAAAAAAAAATAGTAGGCATAATTCCACTTCTTTTTCTTTTTAATGACTCAATAAAACACAAAAATTTTATATGTCGAAAAGAAACACTATGACTCTATAGAAAGTCAACGATCAATTAATTAAAAAATTTTAACAAGAATATCAAAAAATAGGAAATGACTCACGCCGACCTATCTTTCATGATTGCTTCCAATGTTCCTCTACGAGCTGGATTTAGTACAAGGAACTTCTTAAGAAGATTTTCACAGTCGGTTGACATGTAAAATGGAATTCGATATTTTCCTCTCAGCACCCTTTCTCTTAATTCCTAAAAAATTCGAGGTTGAAAATGCAATACCTCTATTTTTCCAAAACAGCATTCATTCTTCGCAAATAGAAACTGCGCAACGAAAAAAACACGGAGGAAAAAGCACCTTCAAATTTTGCCCATCAAAAGGTAGACTACCAGAGACAAGAGTGTATAAAATAACTCCTAAACTCCAAACATCCACTTCTGGTCCATCATATTTCTTTCCCTGAAACAGTTCCGGAGCTGCGTAAGGCGGACTACCACAGAATGTATCCAATTTATTACCTGAAAAAATTTAATATCTATTAATACAACACAAAACATTTTTCGTCTAGGAATGATAATATTCACAGAAGTGTAGAAAGTGGGTACTGACAGAAAAAAGGCATGATCACAAAGCTGCCCCTCTCAGAAAGACAGATGATATTACATATTTGGAAGAAATAAGAGATTTTAAATGATTAAGTAGGTGTATTCTAATTACCATATCTCTGTAATTTTGTAGTAACATCGTTGATAAGACACAACGTATCAGAATGGCAAAAACTTAAAACCGAAACAAACGAATGAAAAACAGGATAGATTAGATATATAAAGGGAACAACTAAGAAAAATTACCTATTACAAACTGATTGCTGAATCCAAAATCAGCTATTTTGATATTCATATCAGAATCGAGTAGCAAATTTTCCGCCTAAAACGCCTTTTTTTTCTGCGATCATGGAGAATCAATCAGTTTACAGAAACAATGTCATCAATACTTTAATTTTATGGCATAATTAAATATGATGGTTTGTAAAAATCACAACTGTGCCCATTGCGGCACATATCAACAAATGTGATGTGAGAAGCGACTGCATTAGTTATAGATTCATACAAATTGTAATCTTTTCCTTCTATAGGAATTAAATTTCTTAATTGCTATTAACAAATATGTTGGCAATGTCGGAAAGACAAACATCACTTGCAACGGACTGCCGTAATATATATGGATGCATATATGCTCAACATTTTTTGCTATCTTACTGTTACAATGAAATGATTTCTTTCTTAGTTCATACTGTGGCACGATGATATCCTAATAAAAAAAATTACCTTCAAATCCCTATGTATGATTTTTTTTTGGTGTAGGTATTGTACAGCGGACACAATTTGTCGAAATTTAGCCCTTGCTTCCTTCTCTTTCATCCTACCGTGAGCTACCAAGTAATCGAATACCTAAAAATTAATGTAATAAAAAGTAAAAGACAAAAAGTGATTTAAAAAATTCAATAAATGAAAGCACTAAATTATGAATTCGAAATTTTCATGTCAAATATAACAAAGAAATGAATGCTTACATCTTACCTCAATGAAAACATGACATGTATGCTTAACACAGTTAAGAATTGAAACCCTACCTCTCCACCACTCGCATATTCCATTACAAGGTATAATGTATTTTCAGTTTCCATCACTTGGTAAAGTTTCACTAAATTATGTTACTGCAAGCAATATAAAACAAAAGAAAAATCATTTTCCTCTCCAGTGACTCCATTTTTTTCCATTTAGAAAAGAAAACGCTAGTAACATATCTATCTTTAAAGTATTTTTTTAAATATTAGAACTTCTCAACTTAGTTACAATTATTGTTCCTCTAGTTTAAACTTCAGCATAAGTGAATTTCAACTTACAAAAATTTTGAAATCTCACACAAAAAAACTGCAAATTTATACAACATCTTATATAAATATGAAATTTCAAAAAAAGGATCTGTTTAGTTCACTAGATGTATTGTCAATAACGTACCAATGTTTGGATGATCCAATTGTTTCATTATTTTTACTTCTCGGAACAGCTGAAAAAGGAATATTAATCCTTAACAGCACAAATATTCCGACGAATTAAATCGATTTTAATTACTCTTCTGCAGTTATGGAAAATTTGAAAAAAAAAAAAAACCCATTTTCATCCTTTTTTCATAAAATCGAGGAAATATGTGCAACCAACCAACCAACCTTGTGTAGACTGCCTGGATTGAGAGCAGTTTTGTCGATTATCTTAATCGCAACCTCAATACCCGTAGGAATGTGCTTGGCTAGTTTAACCTACAAAATAAACAAAGTGAAAAGAAAAATTTTATTAATTCTTGGTTTTTTATCCTACATTAAATAAAGGTTTTCTAAAGTGAAAGACTGAGAAAACAACTGATCTTCTGATTTCACTTTTTCGCACCAAATAGTTACAAAATCTTGGTAGTTATTTTCAAGCTTCTTCAGTCTAATAAAAGTTTTCCTCCTGCTTGGTTTGAAAGAAAATTTTATCACTGGGATTTCAACTGAAACTTCCAAACAGCTCTAATAAAACAACTGATAACCATTCCATTCCCATTATACATTTCGATTCCTATATATGTCATGTGAAACAAAAGAAAACAAATTGACAAACTTTGGCAAAATTTCCTTTGCCAATCGTTTTGAGCAACTTATATTTTCCAATATGTGGGTCATCAGTGGTTCGCGACCTGCTCTGCACACGCGTTGTATTCAGATTTGAAGAACGATGATTTCCATGAAATCCACCACTGGTACCGTGATGAGAGCTTGAACTGAACAATCGTTATAAATGTTATAGATATTAGTGTAATAATCATTAATCTTAATAAGTTTCCTTCTTTTAGGTTTGAAAATTTCCAGCATCGGGTTTTTCGACCACTACCCTTCAAAAGAGCTGTAAGATAGTGATAACCACGAATAAACCAGGATTTTAAAACTAACTACGAGGATGACAGTCATACGTATGATCCTCCGAAAAAACCATGTTACTAATAGAGTACAGAATAAGAGCAGCAACCTTGGGTGAGCTCCATGATGAGAGGATATTTGCGTACCAGTACGCGAACCATTACCACCAGCACTGGCATGATGGTGGGAGTTGGAAGATGAAGGAGCAGTCATTGGTGCATGCTGTACCGTGGTTGCCATCCAAGTATGTGATTCTGATGGCAGGCGGCAAAAAGCACTGGTTGGTACTTTGGTTGATGAACAAGATGTCTTCTGCAAAAATGTAAGGGTTGAACCTTCCTTAAAACTCGGAAAACACTTATTTGATAACAATGGATCGATAATTAAACTTAGCAACTTATAAGTAGCAAATAATCTGATCATCTGAGATAAGATATAAGTAGCAAATAATCTCTTAAGTTACTTTTTCATAAGATTGTTCAACCTTGCAACTCAGCCATTTTAATTCAGTACTTTCTTTCATAGCACAATCAAGGGAATAGTGAATAAAAAAAAAAAAGAATTGCACATAATCATACGCATGGAATTGTTTCAGTATTTCACAACTCAAAAGATGAAGGTGAATCAATAATTGAAAGATTGTGGATTGTTAGGGTTAGCAATAACATCCACGAAAACTGTATGAATCTCTATAATGGACTACATCCATCCTTTTTTCCTTCAACTTCGATGGAGAAAGCAAGACTTGCAATACTACTAAATTAAAAGAAATTTGCTCTTTAACCCTGCATTATTTTGGGTTTTGGATGGCGACCTACTGAAACAAATCATGAAACGGACAAGATAAGCTCCCAATCAGAATGGACTGAATTCTCGATGGCAACATTTGTAATGTAGATAAAAAAGCCATTATTTTACTGTAAAATAATTAAGCTTGCCCTTTTCTTGCTCTCTTAAATCTTTTCGCGTTTCCTTTCAACACTGCCTTAGTAACTTGCACAAGCAGCATGATCGTAAAGTTAAACAGATGGATTTTTGGCAAAAACATAAATGTAAACACTGCAACATTCTGTGCGATGTGATGTTACCTGTTTTATAACGCATTGCACTTTTTCCTGGCAACCCAGCAATCTAACTGCTGTTGCAGGTGGAAATAATTCCTCTCCGGTGTAAAGATTACGTACACTATAGTGTAAGGAAAAATCTTGAAATATGCAAATTTTCAAAAATAAGTGATATCTGGATGCTCTAACTAAAATCTCAAAAGTCAGAATAATACATACATTCTTCCCGCTGTTAGTGGATAATGTTGGAGCAGTATCCTGAGTTTTAATCTTTCGGAATGATTTCCGCACAGGCGGTATGTTACTGTTTTTCCGGATTATATTCTTATTTATTGCTTCAGTGCTAGAGCACGAATTCACATACTCCTGAAATAAACCGAAAATGTAATAAATTATCCTCCATCCTCGGAGCGTTACATGAAGGAAAAGAGTAAACGTGAATTATGTCTTTTTTACACATCAACTGCACAAAATCGTGACACAATATGAAAGCAAATTTCCAGACGAAATACAGCCAAAATCAATAAACAATATTACCTCATAGATCACGTGGCATTTAAGATTAAGAAAGATAATGTTACAGGTATCAACTGCAACTAGACTTAACTATAATGGATTTTCCAAATGGTTACTAGCAGCTAACATACTTACAATGCCATGCATACTGTAATAATAGCTATGACAAATTAATCAGATCTATCAATTAAACGAACAATTTTACGCACTAACAGATTACTATTTTTACGATTCTTTATGCATAGACGATTTAAACAAATGTATCGCAATTAATAACGACGTCTATGAAATTCTATGTATATTATAACTAATAACAAGACGGAACAGTGCAAACATGCTCGCTGCAGAATCGACCGTAAAAATGAAATAATCAAGGTGCTGCAACTGTATTCCAATTCAAAATTGGTACAAAGAAAGCCTTGGTGATATCATCAATTACCAGATTGTACAGAACTGATAATTGACGAAATGATAAGGCCTATCACTCCACAAGAAGCAAATATAAGCCAATCAAATCACCGCCCACCAACACTAACACCACACAGCCGTATACAAACCAAACATGGTCCGATTTAACAACAGCCACTTTTGCAATTCAATAATCCCAGACCAACTACAACAAGCTGGTCCAAAATGATGGAATAATAGTTGGAATTGAAGAGTGCAACTGATATTATAATAATACTCAAAAGATAATGCACATTCTTAGTGTCCTCATTTGTATAAAATATTTATGTAAGATGCTGTAACTTTTACAATTTTCCATCCATTTCTCTTTCACCAACTAATAAATGTTAATTTGTAGTAAATATTGCAGTTCAAATTTTAAGAATTTCCACCATATAAATTGAATGAAATGAGTACATTATCATTAACGAAAATTCAATTAAGAATGCAATATGCACAGATAAAAAAGAAATTTTTTCTCTCAATGAACTGAGAGAAAAAATTTTTCTCCTTTCTTCCAACAACCGAATGCTTTCCATTTCAATCACAGCCTATCTATCTCCATTTATTTAATAATATTCTAATCAAAATATTAATAAGCAAATCTGTCCCAAACAAAATTCAATATGACTGGCTGGCTGGCATGTAACCTTGCTCCAATTCAATCACTGCTACACACACACACACAACTGTACATACGTCTAAGTGTGTGAATATATGCATTTTTATATAAAGTTGTGGTGCGCATCATTGACCGTCCATGAAATGATGGATGGTGGGTGATATGATAAGCTGCTGATAAATCATCCGAGGATATATGCCTTCCTCATTAGCTGCTTATCATAATAATGCTGCATGGAAGAATTATTAATTGTTAATTAATCTTTGGTTTTCTCTTTTTTTGAAGATATAAGGAAGAAAATATTGTGCAGAATCAAGAGAATGAGAAAAAGTGAGCAATTGAGGAAAAAAGAAAACGTTAAACACAATCTTTATACTATTTCCGGTTGAATATTTGACGATACCAACACGTGAAAATTAATCTCGATCAAAGGTTAACAATTAGAAAAGGTAAACAAAATCTTTCTTTCTCATATTTACTTCACCTCAACATATTAACTTCTTTTGTCCTTTATTCACTATCTATATTTCAGTTTTTCTTTGTGTGTGTGTGGAAGGATTACAACAAATTTCAAAAATTCAGGTTAATAGAAGTTTATTCTAAAGCATTTCACATGACTGTAATAAATGTCGCGGACAAACCCTTAAAAATTAAAGGAAAAATTGGCGCCCAATGGTCATGCAACAAATACTGACCGTTTCTTGCATTGGCTATGCCACATTTACGAGATTGACCTGTTGACCCGAAATGTGAATGAAACTTTCATACAAAGGACAGAAAGAAAATTAGCTAAATAATTTTCTCTATTTAACCTCCTCATCTTCCTTCTTCTCTCTCTAAAACAATTTTCAAAAGTTAAACTAACTGATGACAGCTGAACAATTTAAACTGAACTTTATTATACTAACTCATATTGATTTTTCGACTAGCAAATCAGAACAATGAAAAAAAAATGAGATTTAATCATCATGAAATCAGATAGAAATTTCCAAGTTAAAATATTACAAAATTCCAAAAGTACATTTTCATCTCAACTGATAATATCACTTATCAAATTCTCTACAATTCGAATAACTCACACGCTGAAATGAGTGTAAGCACTAAAAGTTTTAAATCCTCACATTTAACCAACAAATGAATAAGAAACACGTGAAACAAGTGACCATTTATACGAACTAATCACCTCTCTCTCTCTCTCTCTCTCTCTCTCTCTCTCATTCAGCAACATCAGCTTGATCACCTGCTTTATCAGAGTTATCATAATTAAAAAACTGTTCTTTCTCTGAATCATCTCATTGCAATCTTTGCTGATTTTGAAACTAACCAAATCATTTTGGAAGTCAAAAAATTATTAAAAAACAATTCTCTTTTAAATGTAATTTAAAATTTTGATATGTTTTTTTATTTTCTTACTTTTATTTCCCTTGTTCAAAGAACCTTTGCTTTGTTTTTTGTTTTCTTTTTTAAATTACAAAATAAAAAAAAAACAATGAATGAATGAATAGTTCGAGAATGTCTGCTCGAGAATGTCTCATTTACACCACTGCTACAACTTATAAATGCAGTTGTCAAGTATACATAATTCACTTCATTCTTTATTCTACTGTATGCTTACCATACAAATATTATTATACTCCCTCTTGTGTGTGATGGGACAGGATGGGATGGGATGACTCTAACATTTGTCGCATATCGTTTTATTATTTTGATGATTCATTCATTCATTCATTCATTCGGAAGTTATGTGTGCGAGTTATTTCGTATGTAAAATTAGGGGAAATTATGTTCAATTATAGATAATTTCATGGAGTAAAAGTGGAACTATTGCTCATCACAAGATGATAATGTATATTCTTACTGTTATTCACAGTATTTCAATATTCTCTAAATAAACACTGCAAAAAATGAGGTCAACATTAATAGATTGATTTGTAATTCATAGATTGAATCCATATAGTTATGCCATCCCTGAGAGATTTTCCCTGAGAGATTGTGGAATAATAGCAAAGAAAGAGAAACTGTACTATAAAGTCATTACTTTGCACTGCATTCTCTTTTATTTTTCTTCTTGCACAATTAATTATTTCCCACTATATTCTGAAACCCTAAATAACCTTAAATTCTGAAAACATTTACATCTCTGAAACAAACCTTTCCTTCTAATATGTTAATTAATGAGATCATTTAAGAAGTGCTATTTACTGTCTATTAGATGATATACCAAGAAAGACGACAATTCCACTCCTGTTTTCGTTGAAAGCACATTTTGCGCCCAGCTTTCTATTAATAAATCTTGTTGAACCAGTCCACGGTGACCACGTCCTGCTGCCAGTAAACAGTTTAATATAAATTTCTGTTAGTCCAGGTGTGCTACCTGTACTTTCTGCATAATTCAATTCGTCACATTTGAGAGTTTTTCCTCCCCTTTTAGAAAAACGGAAGTGGCCGTGTTTCCGGCTACAGAATTTTTCTATTCATTATAAAATTTTTTCTGAAAATTTGAAAATGCTTACAGTACGAAGAGCTTAGCAAGAGCAAATTAACTCTTCCAGTTAAGATTAAACGGCTTTAATATCTCGATTCTAAACATTATGGGAATTTTGAGACAATTTTAAAGATAAAATAACGTATTAAACTCGCGAAAAATATAATAATGTTTCTTGAATCGTGGAATGGCAACAGGACAGAATAATCAGAAATGAAAATTTGACTAGAAGAAATTTTTAACAATTAATTCAAAATGAATTTCAGGTAGTCAAAATTATTAGAAAATCATTAGATGAAATGGGACGGAAGGAGGCAATGAGACATACATGGACAAATGAGACTTATTTAAACAATTTCGACTAAAGGCAAAAGACAGTGCCTGGCTTAGTAATCAAAGCACTTTGGTGCTCTTTTCGAGAACATCTCAAAAGATGGAAATAATGGGAAGAGAAAGCACAGCACAGCAATAACCTTCCTTGCAGTTCAAAGAAACAAGTGATGATCAATGACATTTCTTATCATTCATGATAACCAATAATTAATTAATTAATTAATTAAGGAAAAGGGAGAAACTTCTTCTTTTGTCGTTTTCTTTAAAAGAAAAAAGAAACTGAATCTCACTAAGAAATGTTTATAATTACAAACCAATTTCTATAAGCGTAGTGTTAAAAAGACAGATTAATAATAACTGTTAATTTAAATTTAATGGTTTAATTGATATCAATAAATAAACAACATTAATAATAAAAACAATAATTAATGATATTTCCATGATTCATTGGTTAATTCTCTAGTGCTACCTTTCATGAACTGACTGGGTTGGCATGACCATGTGAGGTCAATAATGCTGCTATTCATGTCACTTAAAGTTTGCACTTCAGTTCAGTCAATTAGCTTTTGTTTATTAAGAAGACATAATAGAAGCTGATATTAGCTTATTAAATCTTTGAAATTATCGCTTCTGAATGGTACTTGTGCAATGGCAAAGAAAAGAAAAAATTTAGAGAGTCCTTGGCATTATTATTGCTAGTAATTATGAGTTGAAGAAGATACGGTAGACGCAATGCTTGCACTCTCTTTTCACTATTTTCAAAAATAATTCAAACAAATTTATTCGAGAAAATAAGCCTGAATCTTTGGAGGTAAATATGAGATTGCAATTTATCCTAAAATTCGATAACAAATTTCAAATAATTTCAAAATCTTAAACTTAACTAGTCAATTAATACATACTGATACTCAAAAATTTCATATCTAACTGGAAGAAAGAAAAGGAATGAGAAGACTACAGTTGCACCAGAAAGAATGGAAATATTGCTAAGAAAACGCAATTATTCCAGTTGCATACATTTTACCGTTTCCGGTTAAATGTATAAGAATTGCGAGGAGTGCATGTGTATCCGGAATAACTGGAGCGATAGCATGATGATGACCATCAAACCGGTTAGCATCCTTTTACATTATACTTAATGCAACACAGTATCAATGCATTTCTTTCATTTATATTTCCTTCAATTAGCGTCTGTTATAGTAAAATGTATCCAATAAAACAAGTAACAGATGGAACGCTTACACAGCATTATTACAATATGTATAGCATACTAAGATGAAATTTAAATATAAAAAAGTTGCACAGAACTTCAAGTGGAATATATTCCTTTACTACATGGTAATGTTCTGTCATTCTTCAAAGTATGTATCGTATTATCTGTAACTAAAGAATTAATTTAGAATTAACGAGAAATGGACCAACTTGAAATTTTAAAACGAATAATTATTTGCTACCAGTAATTCCCGACTTCGTTACTTTTTATCCTATTCAGAAGCAACGAAGATTAAATGCATAAACGACCCAAGCAAAAAATGAAAATGCGGGAAATAAAGCAGAACCGAAAATTAAATTAGATAAAATTCGAAGTGTAATGGCAGATGGAATGAAAAATCATAGTGGAAAGTCCCACCGAGTGCTGTGACACTAAATATTTCTATCAAACAGGTAAAGAGAAGAACTAAATTTCCCTGAAGGGATGTTATCATTTAAACTTATCGAAGCCAGTTTAATTGTTCATCTCAATTACGCATCAGTTAATCGATCGACCGATCAAAATCATCGACGAACGGTCTTTCACATCATAACTTTAACAATCCGGAAAATACCCTTTAATTGACCTTCTTACTTTCGGATCACTGTCGCTCTAATATTATCACTTCTCTTCTTTTCATGGTTAATAACAATACAGTAACACCTTTAATTAGAATGACAGGTAACAAAGAAGTGATGCTGTAAACTGCAGAATGCTGCTATCGAGAACAATTAGAGAAATGTCAGAATCTCAGGAATGTTTATTGACAAATCCAAGGAATGCTTTTTTCAGGAAAAATATCTCAAACTGCGAAGATGTTTGACCAGTTTTTTAAAATCCAAAGAATTGCATACTTCCAATTCCTCAATAAATTATCTACCCAAAACAAAAAAATAAACACGATAATATTACGAGACACTATTACCACTAACAGCAATACATTTTGTCTGAATTTTAAGTCATTTGAAAACAAAACGGTACCGCCACAAAATAAAATCAATAATACACCAAAAGGAATAGCATTTAGGCGACGGCGAAACTGCCCGCAACGGCAAAAATCGATGCTGCGGGTAAACTAGAATGAAAGAGAAGAGTAAGCCCAGGGCGAATTTCTTGTTTGAAACTCTTTGATTTATGTGGAAGAAAGAAGCGCGAAAGGCGCAATCTCGGGATGAGCGCATGAAATGGAAAGAAATTCCATTCCGCAATAGCAATAATCAATAATGTACTTTCCTTCCGCACTGCTAACGGAGAAAGTTGAATGCGAAACTCTGTAATAGTAGTAGTAGTGAGAGGGACAGTGATGATCGGTGGGTGGTTTTTTCTTTAGAAAGGATGAGAGATGATAAAGGGAAGTAAGTGTTCAAGTTTAAGTGATTTGAGGGAAGATAAGACTGAAGAACACCAAACTAGTCGGTTATTTAAGTTTTAAAAACAGGAATGGAGTGGAATCACTAGAAGCCAGTGGTTCGCTACTTGAAAACAGCGACAGAGGGACGAGAGAGAGAGAGAGAGAGAGAGACAAAGAAACCCGAATTTTTATTTTAAATTATTCAAAATTACAATTTATTATGCTTTACTCCTTACTTTCTTCTCCTTACATCCTCTGAAATACATTCTCGAAATATGAAAAGCAGCAAGGAAATGTATGTGCGAAATGTTTCACATCAGTTTTATCAATTTCATTCCACTTAAGATGATGTGCATGGTTCAACGACATCATCCACTCTCTCCTTTCCTGTCACCTCTCAGTTGGACATACTATATCGACAGTGAAATTTAAATGAATTCGAAACTATTCCACAAAATGCTCATACTATAATGGAAAAAGTCAGCATTACAGAAGAGAAACTGAAATGAAATTAAAGCGTTCCAGATATGAGACAAAACAAAAAGGGTGTAGCAGTGATAATGATAATGATAATGATCACGATAATGATAATGATAATGATCACAATAATGATAATGATAATGATAATGATCACGATAATGATAATGATAATGATCACGATAATGATAATGATAATGATCACGATAATGATAATGATAATGATCACGATAATACACCGCCATGTTTTGTCATATTACAATAAGAAAGGTTTAACAGAATATTTGGGGAGGGAAATAAACGTTAAGTTCATTAAAGTACTAAAATATTAAAGTTGATCGATGTGTAATATTTTTAGCGAACTTAGTGAAATGTTCGAGAAATATTCAATATGTTTACTGAGATCAAAATACCGACCAGAAGTGCGTCAAGGGTATATTACCCGATGATATATGCCCATGCGGGTAGAGATGTTGCAAAGGACGGGAAGTATATTGTCAACTGATTAACTAATTGACTACAAAATATTGCTGTTGTCAAAAATGAAACATGCAATTATACATTGGAGTATGGTGTTATTGTTTAACTGTAGTGTAAACAAAAGCAAAACGGAACGGAGTGGAACGGAATGGAATGAAACTAAACGGAACTCGCCGTCCATTTAATATCCTTCTGTCATCCGTGTTACCTGTTCCGGATAATTAACGGAAGTGATTCCTCAGACTTGTGTGCTGCTAGAAAGGTAGGAATCGGAACAACGAAATCAATCGATGCAAATAATGTCAATGAATATTGGAGTGGGTGGAAATGAAATTGTATATGTGTATGTGTATGTCTGTGTCTGTCTGTATGTGTGTATGCGATGTGAAGACTCTCCGTGCCAGACACACACACATGCACGGACATACATACACATATATACACACACACACAAACATTTTAAAAGCCTTTCGGTGAATTCAGATGCAGCAGCATCGGTGGTTGAACAGCGCACTACGGACGCACGCACTCAACAGACAGACGGACACATCCGCGCAGACTGTCAGACGAGAGTTGTGTGAAGGGGCGGCAATATCCCGCACACTGCTGCGCTCACTCCACCCAACTGCCACGCCGAGATCTGTGCGATGGCCACCGCACCGCCGCCGGTTGCGACAGTGCACGCCTTGCACGCGCTGCTGCGGTCGTTCGTTGGTGCAAGCTTCGGTCGTACGAGGCTTTCAGTGTCAAACACTCGTTTGGTGACAACAAATCTGCCCATAACGTCCCTCAATGGACAGCGCAGCAGGAAGAGAGAGAGAGAGAGAGGGAGGAGGGGATGAAGTGAGAAGTGGTGGGCGTAGGTTGAGAATTTCAAAACATCGCTTGTAAACTGAACTGATTTACAAGGAAGAGAGAGGGAGGGAGAGAGAGAGAGGGATGTAAACAAAGACAGAGAAAAGAGTGGAGAGAGGGTGTCACTCTTCTGAGAGGTGTCTAATTCAAATGATCTCGGACAGAATGATGGAAGGAGTATCGGAGAGACTGGAAGGAATAAATCGTCTGCCAATTTGCCTTATTTGCGAGTTGGCATCGTTAAGTTGTAATACAAGTAAGAAGTGTGTACACGTATATCACTTGAATGGATTGACGTGACGTAAAGTGCAGTCAGACCTACTGCTATAGCGGATGGATTAACTGATATCATTAATTCACGCAAATAGTTAACATGTGGGTGTCAGTGACAAGCAACAAATGTTCGTAAACAGTGAACTATTTGGCAGATTGATATTGATAGTCACTGATTATTAGCATCCGGGAATTAGCTACTTGATAGAGCCATCTATTCTCGACTGTCAGTATTTACTTGAGTGTATCGTTATAATAATATATATGCGTAAACAATCTCGTGTTTCAGTTAAAATACATACACGGTGATTTGCTTTCATTGTATAAATTTTAGAGAAATGATTGACGGAGGTGAGGTCACGTCACGCTTTTCGGTGGTACTTTAATTTAGCGCATCTTCCGAGATGACCTAGTTGAGTACACAGCAATGATTAGCTGCTGAGAGGACACGGAACGAAGAATGAAGGGAAAGAGATAATAATAATAATAATAATAATAATAATAATAATAATAATAATAATAATAATAATAATAATAATAATAATAATAATAATAATAATAATAATAATAATAATAACAATAATAATAATAATAATAAATAATAAATAATAATAATAATAACAATAATAAAATAATGATGATGGTAATAATAATAGTAAATAGTAAAAATTAGTAATGAATATGACAAAATTTAAATGAAATGAGTAAAATCTACCAAAGTTATCAAAAGAATAATAAAAAAAGTTTTGCCACTTTTTCATTATTTATTTAATTATCGAAACTATCTCACTAATATTTGAAATTAGTTTTTTCTTTTTTGTTTATTACATATGATCAAAATAGCTCAATATATTCTCAACAGCTATTCATTAATTAATTACTTAATTAGCAAAGACATATCAAGTTGGCGCTAATCTAAAACATCTTAAACTTATTTATAATTTCATAGATGCGAGACTTCCTTTAACTTATAGCAAGGCAAATAATAAGAGTTGACACATCAGCGATCGATTTTCACTTAAAATAGCTTAGCAAAGTTGCAAGGACTGATGGAATTAACTAACAAACTGACTGATATTCTGCTACCACCTGTTGCTGTGTCCCTTCCACAGGTACTGTCTGCCACACAGTCACACTGTGACAGTAATGGACAGATGAGTCAGCACGCTTAGCTTATCCATCTTCTGTCTTTGTGTTGCACAACCCGAACACCTGCTAACCACAGTGACCCTATCTACCTGGCTGTAGTAACATCTGAGATTATTCACCCATATTATTTACCCATATCATTTACCATTCCCAGCTATAACACACATACACACATACACACACACACACACACACACACACACACACACACTACATACAGACATACATACACATACACATACGAAATGAAGTGAAAAAGTTTGAACTGAGAAGAAGAAACTTCATCGTTCCTTTTTTCTTCAATAAATCAATGCACTGAGATTATTTGAGGGGAAAGAAAAGAGAAGAGAAGAACAGAAAGCGCCCATCTCGAGGTGATCGATGTCACTTCACCGAGAGCACTGTGCCCTCTCTGAGTCATTCATTCGTTCTAAGTGATTCATTCCATTTACTGCGTCACATTTCATTTTAAGAAAGATTGAAATAATAAAAAGGAAATAAATTTCAATTTGTTTCACATTATTGACATTTGAAATAACTGTTGAAAGTAGAAATAATTTTAAAAAAGTACCAAATCGCATCGTATAAGATCAAAATGCAATTTTAGCACTGAAATAATTTGCTAAAAGTGCTTTGATCTGCTGCGAATGTCACATGCAAACAAGTAAGTATCAATAACAGACATTCGCTAATTTTACCACATTTGACAAAGTTTTGCTTAGAGAAATGCGACAATTCAACAGCATCCTCAACTGTCAGAGAGAAAAAGCACTCAGCAAAATTATTGATAAATCGATTTTCACTGCATGTCATAAAAAATTATTTTATTATTCTGTGAATTAAAATTTTGTGAAGAGGAAAAAAAAAAAACAAATAAGTAAAAAATAAGAATATGAATGATCAGTTAATAGTAAATTGAGAATTAATCTGTTAGTAACAAAAGAATTTCAGAATTTTGCATTTTCTTACAAAAGAAGAAGAAACAAAAAACTGAAAAAGATAAAAGTTTTCTAAATGTAATAATTAATTAAAGCGGTTTCTGTGTTGATTCTGAACGATTAGCCGGAATTGAACGGATTGATAGATATTTTGAAATGAAATGAAAAAGAAGAAGAAGGAGAGGAAGCTAACTAATTAGTTAATCTTATCGAAAAAAAGAAGAAAATAAAAAGAGAAATTTTTTGAAATTAGATATAGATAATGATAAAGAAAGGCAAACAGCTGGAAATTTTAAATGAAAATGAGAGGAAAAACAAAAAAAAAGATTGATTCATTACTTTGACTTTGATAAATTTAATTTCAACTAACAACAATCATAAATCGATGAGATAACTGACATTGGATTGCTTCAACAAATATCATATCATATCATATCACATCAGTGGCATTCACTCACAACTATAGGTTGGTACTGACAAAAATGAGTAATGAACGATTTGAAAAAGTTAAAATTTCCCAATAATTAATGATTTCGAATTCATTTATTTGTATTGAACGGAAATGGTTTGTTAATCATAAATGAGTGATAAATACTGATAAGATTAACACAAAGACAAACTCACAATGCAAACTGTATGAGTTATTAAATGAAATGGCTTCTTTCTATTCCGGAATCCTTCTCTCCCGGAATCCTTTTTTCTCATGCAAATTTATGAGAGTTTCCTGACGAAACGGATGACAGAACACCTGAGAGCATGTCTATTCCTGAAGACCGGTGACAAAAAAGAGAAATTAGAACGGATCAACCCGATGGAAGATTATAACACTTTAAATTCTCCTACAATTTGGAGCTGCTAAATTGTGGACGGAACAGAGATAATCAACAATTCAAATAGTTTTATCATCGATTGATGAAAATGAAGAATGATAGAGAAGTATGTGATTTATATTCAAGAAAAAGAATAAAACTTGGGGATTTGACGAGAGTTATCATTTGCGCCTTATTAAGTCAAATTGTCGTTACAATTGCCGAATTGTCCACCTCGTTTTCATTGCTGACAAATTCGAAAGAAACTAACAACAGTGTTTATTATCATTTGAATCGTTTATAAATTATTCCATCATCCAGTCATCATTACATAAATTTATTTTGTCATCTTTTCTTGATTTAAACAAAATTTCATTTGAAAAAAGTTTTTGCATATTACGTTTTGAACAGAATTTGAATCGTTTAAATTTATTTAAATTAGTGATCCATTTTTTTGATTAAGATTAATGTCTACCACAAATAAAGATGTAAAAAAGAATTAATCAAATGAATGATTAAATGGTAAAGTGAAGAAAAATTGTTGGGAGGTATGAAATAGGTGAAGAGATAAAGGTCAAACGAAAGAGTAAATGAGGAGACGATGAAATTGGGGTGAAAGACATGGACATATCTAAAAGTCAAGAATCTCGAATAAGTCGAGAGTGTCATGGTAAAATAGAGACGGTTGGAGGAGCACAATAAATGAACAATCGTTCATCGCCACTTTTTAATGATAATTTGATAAGAGTTTGATGAAAATTGTAAAATATAGTCAAAAAAACCTTACCTCTCAAGAATTTCATTAATCAAAATTTTTTTCCCAAGAAAAAAGTTCATAAAAAAAAATCTCAAGAGAGGAAAAATTGTCTAACTTTTTACTTCCGTGAAAAAATATCGCAAAAACAAATTTCGTCGTTTTCCAAAAATTGCCTAAATGTTCTTTTTTTGCGAGGATTTTTAGCTTATCTATTTATATCTTTTATTATTTGAATATCTACAAAAGCAGTTATAAATAGCAATGCTAGAAATTTGGAAGAAATATTTAATCGCTTTGTTAAGAAGCAGTAAAAAACTTCAGAAAAATAAAATTTCATCAGTGATAACTTTACCAAATTGAGTGTAATATTTCATGCCTATAAATATTTATTAAAAATTTAAAAGAAAAAGCAAAATTTATTTTTCAGTGGAAAATTCCTCGTACGATTTATGTAAATGAAATAAATCTTTTATCTAGCCACGCCTAAATTTCATTTTTTTTTCCAAATTTAATTCTTTCAAATGAATTTCCCTTTTTTTTATTGAAGCGAATTTTCTAAGAAACTGGCAAACTATCAAAGCATATAATATTTGACACAGTAAACACTGGCATATACCTAAACATCAGGTAAGTAAGTAAGTAAGTAAGTAAATAAATAAGCTCAAAATCATTGCTGCACAGTCCTCCAAAACAACAATAACAACTGTAAGTGTTTTTCTTCTCAAATTGCGATGAGTCAGTTTTTGCTCTTTGAAATATTTCCCACTTCTTCTTTTAGTAGTAGCAGCAGGAAAAGCGGAAAGCAATTCCCCTTTTTCGAGAATTATTGATTGGCTTAAATCCGTTTTCTGGATCGGAATCGCCGTGCACTTTATGACATTCCGAAATCCGGTTCAGATCATTAAGTTCGACTGAATTACGGCGTATCACATTTCGGATTTTGATATGCGTGACATTTCGCGTGACATTTCGATATATATGTATATCATTTGTGATATCGGATATCAAAGTTTTCGTGGATTAGATTGTCTCCGAACATTTCCTTTCTCTTTTCCTTTAATCCTCTTTTTAAAGGGACAGTCTCTCAAGATAAGTTTAGGAGAGAAAATCAGTTTAAAATAAACTTTACTTACAGGAAAATAAACTATCATTTTACTATTTCAAAGGATTATTTGAAGCCCAGCAATATTCTTTCTCTTTTCGCTTTCTCAAGGGAAAAAAAATTATTTTGAATTATTTAATAACTAAAATTTAGTGTTTTTAAGAAATTTTTAAAATACCTTTCAGACTATATTTTTCTTTTTTTTGGCCAGAACAACTTTCTGTCTAGCAACATTTCAACTTTCAGCCAAAAATAATTGAAGATAGTTCTCCAATTATAAAATTAACTTTTGTTTTCTGCCCTTTTCATCAACCAACAATTTCCGACGATTATTAGTTATTATTAGGTGGAAACAGTCTATTCTGTAATTTTCATCTCTTCCTGATTTTCTTGATTGTAAAGATCGATTTCCCTGATCTCCTTGATCACTAAACCTTAGCTTAACTATTTTATTTATTTCTATACAATGTTTAAAGTAATTTTACGCATGGAATTTTCAAATGACAGTTGTCATCGAAGTATCTCATCAGTTTAAATTTACTTGAAAATATTTATTTACCTTCATCTTTAGTGAAAAAATAAAAGGAAGTCGAGATTGAATCTATGTAATAATAAATCGATTGTGTTGATGGCATGAACCTGAATCGACCTGAGAAAGCAGGCAGTTAAGTTTGAGAAATAATTGGTGTCTGTAATATTGCTAACATTTAGGAAATGAATGATTGTAGCATTTTAGCTCGCAAAACATTAAATTTTAATTAATGCATAATTCAGAATAAGTTTTTTTCTTTTTGAATTACTGTTACAAGGAAGCAAAAGAAGAAGAAATATTACTAAGCTTGAAACAATCGTTTAAAATGAAAAAAAAAAGTGAATAATGATAATAATAATGATCATGATAATGATGATGATGATGATGATGATGATGATGATAATGATGATGATGATGATGACGATGATGATAACGATGATGATGATAATGATGATGATGATGATGATGATGATGATGATGATGATGATGATAGCGATGATGACGATTTCTCAGAGTTTTTAAAAGTAAGCATGGAGCGATCATTAGAAGACAGTACTGTTTCCTGTGTGAAAATAAAATTAAAACTGAAAAAAATTTAACAAATCGAAAGACTGTCATGTTTGTTTATACTATGTAACGAGAATGATAGCTAAAAGTGAGTGTCAATGTGAAAAGAGAGGAAAAGATAAATTGCTTAGATGAAATTAATTGCTCAACGAAAAATTAAATTTTACTCCGAAAAAAAAAATTAAATCTTTTTTTTTTTTAAATTTTCTTATGTAATCTAACAGTGACAAAAAGAAGAGGAAAAATTGATAATAATGTTGATAAAAATAAGCTCACAGTAAAATTTATTTTAATTATCGGAAAATTAAGAAATACAAGTATAAATACACACACACACACATACACACACATACACATACACACACATACACACACACATACACATACACACACATACACATACATACATACAAACATGTGCTATGTTAGTGGATTAATCGAATAAAATATTTTTGCGACAAAATCACTTATTGTGTTCTCCAATGTCTTTTCTTTTTCTAATTTCATGTGAATTGGAACATAATTAGCCATACCTTTTGTTGTTGTCTCCGTTGTTGTTGTCGTTGTTGTTGTTGTTGTTGTTGTTGTTTTTGTTTTCTTTTTTCACTATTGTAAATTTCATTATCAACATTTCTTCTCTGTCTTGCAATTTCTTCCTGATGCATACCTATAGAAATGAATACTTAAAAATCTTAAAATGTATTTAATTTGCTAATTCAATTCTTAATCTTAAATAACTAAATAAAAAAAAAAAAATGTATGCAAAATTCAATGACAAATTTCATTCTATCATTTTCCGTTTTTTTTTTTTTTTCTCTTCAAAATTCGTTTCTTTTTCAAATTATTAGATAAAATCACGTGAATTACTAAGTGATAATTTCATGCAACGTAAAACATTTGTCAGACATTCATTTCTTCCATTTTTCTTTTTTCATTTTTTCTCGAAACAAATTTTCGTCGTCGAATTAGCAACACAAAAAGGAAAAACACTTCATCTTCTCATTAATAAGCAAAACAAACAAATCACCAACCACTTGAAATGAGAGCAACAACGCCAGCAGTGGCTGTGGCAATACCAACTCCGCTCAACTGCTCGTTCACAAGAGCGCTTCTGGTGGAAGAAGTTTGCAACGAGATTGCCGGTGAGGCGCTCGCACGTCGTTTGTGATGGTGAAGCGTTAATGGTAACAATGATTTATCATCGTTCACATTTGAATGATTTTGATCAATATTTTTACGAAACGGTACTAACGTGTTTAGAAACGAGCCACTTCGACGTTGAATCGTTTTTGATAAACGTTTTGTCCACGTGGTACGACCTTTAAGAAACAAAAAAGAAAAAAAAACTGTTCTTTACTATTAAATGAAAGTTTTACTTGATCACAGGTTATTAACGGATATTTTGTTAGAGAATTGTCATAAAAACTGATAATCAAAAATGTGAAATAAATTTATATCTTGCAAATAATTTTTAATGTCATTTCTGATTTCATTGACAAAAATTAAAGTTGTTGAAGTTCGAAATTGAAATACTCAATTACAGTGCCCACCATATGAAAGATAGATTAAAACTTTTTAATTCTTACAATCACTAATTTTATGACAACTTCAAGTAAACTGAACCATATCCGAAATATATCAAATTGCAGTATATTTTAAAAAATTCGTTTCTTTTTATTAGAGTAAAGTTTTTTTTTTCAGGAATTTTAATATGCCACAACACTAACAATAATTATTTGTAAAACACACACAAAATTAAATTCTTAGTTTTATTATTTTTTTTTTTAATTTCAAAAGATAAGGAAAAAAGGCAAAAAAAGTAGAAAATACATTGAAATGAAAGAAACCTGGCGTTGAACGCAATACTACCGTCTGTGACGGTGATGACGTCTCACGTAATGGCGGCGATAACGTTTCACGTGACTGCTGCTCATCCATTACTGATAATTCGGTCATTGTGGCAGATGCGGTTGGCATTGCCATCTTTGCTTGCTGTTCCCTTTCCGTCAAAATATTTTCATCGAAAGCAAGCGCAAAAAGCAGAACGTTGTGTTAGTTTATCATCTGTACATTACATCGGTATGAGTCATGGATGACTCACGCTGAAATGAAATGAATGGAAAACGAGCACCGAAACAATGTTAAGTGGAATTGGATCGTTATGCAAATCACACCGAAACTGCAACTATTCGAGAATATTCTCGTCCAGTTCAGCTCTTTACAAAATATAACGAATCGACACGGTGACAGCAATATTTGGTTAAGTTTATGAGAGTTTAGAAACATTTTGACTTTGTCTTTTTCCTCATTTTTTTGTTTTTAAAAAAAATCTTTTAAAACGAACTCTCATATAAGCTTTGAATAGTTGTGTTTTTTCAATTAAGTTTTTTCAATTGATAGTTTTCAATTAAGAAACTACTGCCATCATTTCATTCATTATGAATGGAAAAATATAAAAATATAAAATTGACAAGATTGGTAATTAATTAAAGAGATATTTTCGTAGTAATTTCAACATTTGGTTAAATTCAAAACGAATCAAATAATTTCGTTTCAGAATTTTTTCTTCTTTTTATTCTTTTCATTCTTAATTTTGTTACTTTTTTCCGTTTTTTGGCTGTTACAATAGTGCTTCTAAACATTATTCTCGGTAAAAAACAAGAAAAATTAAGCAAAACTGATTCTATAATTACTTTTTCTTTTTCTGATAAATCAATAATAATCAGATAAAACTATTTATCGTCCGAGGAAAACTCATTCTGACAAAAGAAAAAAACTTAGTAGCGCTAAATAATGAACTAAAATTATACTTAAAAGGATGAAAAGTGATGAAAGTGGTACAAAAGAAAGAAAAATAATTATACTAATTGCATTACTATCGATTTGTGACAAAATTTCATTCTTTTTTGCATCGAAAATAGCAAAATGAAAAAATTGATTGTACCATTATAAATGCAAAAAATTATATAAAAAATTTGTGCGAATATAATAAAGTGGTCGAGAAGTGACTTATATTCATTACATTAGCATTTTTAATTTTAATATCAAGTTCATTTGAGAATAATATGGACGATCCTTCAAAGGTTTAGTTAGTGGGTACTCAATTTTTTATTTCCACCACCAAACATCGAATTTTCAAATAAAGGTTGTAAATTTAAACTATGCAGGAAATGTTTAATTAAGAAAATTTCTAATTTAAATCAAATTGCTTTCGTTCTGATAGAAACATAAAATTTGAAAAATTTTATTGTGAAATCAAATTTCTTTAAATTTATTAGTTCCAAATAATTGATTAGGCATAAATGACTCATTTCAAAAATTAAACTTGAAATTGTAAGTCCTTCCACCACTCCCTCCAATAACATCAAGACAAAGAGTACTAGACAATTCATCTCTTTTCCATTGCCATTTCTCGGGACATGTGAGCCTAGGCTAAGCAAAGAGAATATTTGAAAATAAATTAGCAAAAAAAAAAAAATCAAAATTAAAGCTAATATGGTTGCAACAAAAATTTTATAAAGTAAAAATTGAAAAAGCAAAAAAAAAATGGCCAATGACAATAAAAAGAAAAAAAGAGAATTTAAAATTAGACAGAAGGATTCGTTCAATTTCAAATCTCTTTGTCTGATTTATAAAATCTCATAGGTATTACAATAACCATCTTCAGTTTACAGTTTATGATAATGATTATAGCGCTGTAAACAGCTGTGACAAAGTTTTGCGTTCAGTGACAACCACTTACTTTCTTTATAAGCATTTGATGAGATGACAACTTCAATTTATGTGAACAAATCATTTATTACTTAGCAGTTTTTAATTTTTATTTTTAGTTATTCAATCAAATAATGATAGAAAGGTTTCAAAAATGATAAATTGGTGAGTGCAACAGGTAGCTGTAAGTGCTAAAATATATAAATGTTAGCTATTACTGAAATCTGCTACAGTTAATTTTAATTAATAAAAAAAAGTTGAAAAGGGGAAATTGTTGAAGTAATTTACTCTAAATCTTTTCTCCCAAAAAAAGGAAAAAGAAGAAAAAAATACAATCTGAACTTAATCAATATCACCGACAATGATCAAATAGTACTAACATAGGTATCACTTACCGCCAATCGAGTTTTTTAATTTCTAATGGTACCAGGGACAATTATATTCAGTGATTTTTATTCATTGATCTTTCATATAATCAATAAATTTTATGCTTCAAACATATTAAAATATTTTATAATCCAAGAAGGGATTAATTATCGATTCATTTGCTATGTTTATGGTAGAATTTTTGAATTTATGACACATTTTATGTTTTTTTATGTGATGGAATAAAATTATTGATTAATTTGAACGAATTTATGATAGAATCTGCTCATCTCAACGATTTCATTTTATTCATTTCATTCGTAAATCTTCTTGAAAACAATTGAGAGAATAAAATTGATCAAACGCATATCTTGTCACACACGTAAGTGTCACAACACACGCATACACGTATACACGTATAAGTTAGCGTCTAAATGAGTGCAAAAAAAAGTGTAAGCCAATTTCAGCATTAAACGGTGAAATTTTCCAAATGAATAAACATTGGAGAGAAAAGGAAAGCAAAGGAAATGCAAGCAAATATTTCAGAGCGTTGTTAATTTGCTAACGTAAAATCAGAAATTTGATTATTGCATTCAGTGATTAATAAATGAATGAAATAAATGAATTGCAAGTGACTGATAATTGCAATAATGCATGTATGTGTCTAATTAGTAAATGATGACGTCAGGTAATTGACGACAGGTAATTAATGAGTGACAACAATAATTAATAGCAGCTAATTAATTAACCACAGTAATAACAATAGTAAATAATAATAAATGACGATGTATCGTTTCGGGAAAGTACACAAAACGGGAAGTGCAAAATTTTAGCAGATGAGAAGCTCAAAAATTCAACCATCCCTGAGGCTACTTTGTTATCTCAATAGACAAACACTATTAAATGGCCTAGTTGCATGCGAAAGAATCCAACACTGGCTCCAATGTCATCTGGCCACAATGACTCTACTGCAGTAATTAAACGATGTATATTCTCCAGGAAAATATCAATGAAAACAGCGATATGTCTTAATTTTCTTTTAATCTTACATAATTATATTTGTCGTCCGAAGAATTTCTATCCTTAATACATTACTATTAAGTATTTTCAGCTAACAATGCATGCATATTAATTTTCTGGATTGGTCAATTTCCAGTTATTCCGGAAACAACAAAATTCTATCAGTAATCAATTAGCGATATATTATTTTTAAAATGAAATAACTATTAGTTTACAATTACAGTTCAATAAACATTGAACTTTCTCATTGTTACTTTACTGCTTATTTTAAGTAATGGATGTTACTTATTCAAGGTAAGAATTTAGTTTACCTACAATAGTACGTAAATAAAAATTAAGAAAATTTCTGAAGGTAGTTATTACACATTTGCATGTGACATTATCACAAGTCTCATTATCAGAAATCACACATTCACATGATCACATGTCACACTGTCACACGTCATATCAATCGATAAATAGTTCATGAAGGGTTGGATTACAAGTGATACCTTAACTGGCCATGATGATATGTGACAGGGTGACACATCCACTCACTCTCATACCTTTCATTATCAATCGATAAATAGTTCATGAAAGGTTGGATTACAAGTGATACCTTAACTGGCCATGATGATATGTGACAGGGTGACACATCCACTCACTCTCATACCTTTCATTATCAATCGATAAATAGTTCATGAAGGGTTGGATTACAAGTGATACCTTAACTGGCCATGATGATATGTGACAGGGTGACACATCCACTCACTCTCATACCTTTCATTATCAATCGATTTGATTCACTTTCAGCAGTCTTTAATGCTATTTTACAGCCATCATTTCCAAAATTATTTCATATTTCATACGATATTATTGTCCAAACAATTATTCAAAATTTATATAAACGAAAATCATTCATTCATTCATTCAACGAAATGCATTGCTATTGCATTATTCTTCAGCTATTTGACAATAAACTCAAATTGTTATTTAATATATTCAACAAAAAAAAAAAAAATGTATTCATTAAAAGTAATAAAAAACGAATTTAAATTAAATTAAATTTACAGATGGGAAAGAATGATATAAATAATAGAAAAAAGGACTATTTAAATATTTAAAAATGAAAAAACTTTAATCTATTTACTGGATTAAACGCAAAAAGGAGAAAATTTTTGAGAGTTAATAATAATTAGCGGTAATATAATCTTTCTTGTTCATTGCAATCGTAATTAAATCGATTTTATGATATTCGAATTTAAAAGTAATGAAAAGGAAAATTTTCTTTTAACACATTTTGCCACTTTCACTAAGAAAAGTTTTTTTTTTTTAAATTTCAAAAAGAAATTTCGTTTGCAGGAAAAAGTATTTTAAGTGTGTAAATTTTTACTTATATATCGGAAATGATAATTTAACAATAACCAATTATTATAATAATCAGAAGATTGCTTACAGTTCTTTAGCTACACATTCTCTTCCCTTTAACTCCTTATTAAAAAAAGAATTTGAAACCATTTCTATTATACATATAATGTAATGATAACAATATAAGGTAAGTAAAATCGTATTGCGAATAATAATAATAATAATAATAGATGTAAATAGTAGTAATAACAGATGTATTAATGATTATATAATGTTTCAAGTATTGTTTTTTTCTTCTTTTTTTAAATTAGTATCTGATTATTATAAACAACCATTTAAAGATAAGTCATTATGATTCTTTAAAAGCATTACTAATTAAATTACATTTTTATATTAAGCCAAAGGGAAAAGGAATGCTAATTTTAATTACCATAAAAAGGGAAATAAGAAAAGAGAGAATGAAATATATTTTCAATTTAATTGTTGAGTAATTTTTTTTTTTTTTTTTTAAACTAGTTTGTAAAATTTAAATCATCTTA